CCAAATACACGAAGGCTTGAGAAAAGGGTCATTTCACTTTTTTAGGGACCAACGTTTTTGTTCAGGCTAACCGATTGTTCTTCTTAAGCCACTTCATATTAACGAAGTTTTTCTGTATAACAAACAGGGATTTAAACCTTATAATCAGTACATCTCATTGTCTAGAAGCGGATATATTTACTGTTGTTATTCATGTTATATGTTTTATTACTAGTTTTTGAAAATATTGTCATTGCTATGTTTGTAATCACCGTGTGTGGTGTTGATGAAATATCTACTGCTATAGCGTGTTTGATTTTGGGTACCGTTTCCCACATTACAGCTCTATTGACAACCGATTCTACTGGTTATCTTGCTAACAGTATTAGGACAAGGCACTTGAGTATCAGGAAAGGACATTATAAATTGTTGAAGAGCCACATTCGAAAACCTGCCACCGTTAAGGAACGCATGCTCAACCAAGTATACTCTTTCTTCAATAGTTCCAAAATCTGTTACTAAAACACCAATACATAGCAGTGATATAGTAAACCAACGGTTACATGGCGCTTGAAACATGACGTAATGCACAGATTGAATTACGGTCCACGAATAATTGAGGTCAAAAAACTAGTCTATAGTCACTAAAACAAAACCCTGTATATTATTATTCGCCGTGTTGTTTGCGGGGTCCCATTGGGGGAAAACAATAGACTCACTGCCATCTCAACAAGCATGCCGTAGGAGTAGACTAATAGGGGCATACTTCGAAGCTGAAGTACATCTGCCGAAGAGGCAAGGAACCAAGAGTCTGCATACAAATAAGCCAGATCTGTGAAACGAATGTCTACACAGCATCCAAGTTCTGGAACAAGATCAAAGTCTGGAGATGGACGAACACCTAGACCTTTCTGCCGGAATTTACAGCCGATTCTCATTATTGTTTTATGCTATTTTTGTTATACGTTAGACTATCAGTTTCGAGTTGGGCAATCTTCACTGCATTCCGAACACATTTACCCCCCCCCCCCTCTCCTCCCCCATTTCACCCTATATTTGACCTTCCCGCTGTTAATAGTGTAAGTTTTATTCTGGATAATAGACTTCTCATACGTCTGGTATGCCTCTCATACCTGGCTGTGCAGCAATGTGGATTCACTATCTCACAGAACCCTCCGATCGTTCTTACTCTAAAAGATCATTAATTAATCTTCATCTTCTTGATCACTTCCTTTTTTTTAACGCTTCCGATGTCGATGGAGATATAATAAGCTTCTGCTTCTTGATCTTCTAGCCGCCACAACCAGAGTTGTAGAGTTTCTCTGATGATTTTTGTTCATATTGTTCTTGGTTTAACTGGTGCCCCTCTTCTCCTCTTGTGGTGTGTGAATGGGATGGTATGACATTCTCTCTGATTCTGTTGTTCCATTTTGTTCTTGGTTTAACTTGTGCCCTTCTTCTCCTATTGTGATGTATGTATGGGATGGTATGGCATTCTCTCTGATTCTGTTGTTCCATTTTGTTCTTGGTTTAACTTGTGCCCTTCTTCTCCTATTGTAATGTATGAATGGGATGGTATGGCATTCTCTCTGATTCTGTTGTTCCATTTTGTTCTTGGTTTAACTTGTGCCCTTCTTCTCCTCTTGTGGTGTATGAATGGAATGGTATGGTATTCTCTCTAATTCTGTTGTTCAATTTTGTTCCTGGTTTAACTTGTTCTCTACGCCCTTCTACTCTTTTGGGATGGCGTCACGAGGCATTCTCTCAAATTCCCTACCATCCAATTAATTATCGAAATATATTGGTGGTCACTCACCTGTATGAATTAGTGACTATTATGCGTGACCGGGACCCACCGAAGAGATAAGTGATAGTAGCCTACCAAGCGAAACCGGGCTTTATCTAAACAAACAAAAGTAGCATGACAGTCTGTCAAATATATCTGTCAACATTTATCTGTAAGTGCAAGCTGTGACCGAACATATGATGTTTGCGTTTTTGTGTTTATATGTTTATATGTGTATGTTAAAGATGTGACCCAGCATTTGGTGGGTGTATGTGTGTATGTTAAATATGTGACCGAGCATGTGGTGTATGTGTTAACATATGATGTGTGCGTTTGTGTGTGTGTGTGTGTGTGTATACATGTGTATGTTAAAGATGTGACCGAGCATGTGGTGTATGTGTTAACATATGGTGTGTGCGTTTGTGTGTATACATGTGTGTGTTAAAGATGTGACCGAGCATGTGGTGTATGTGTTAACATATGGTGTGTGCGTTTGTGTGTATACATGTGTGTGTTAAAGATGTGACCGAGCATTTGATAGGTGTATGTGTGTATGTTAAAGATGTGACCGAGCTTGTGGTGTATGTGTTAAAATATGGTGTGTGCGTTTGTGTGTATACATGTGTGTGTTAAAGATGTGACCGAGCAGGTGCGTGACAGCTGTGACCGAGCATGTATGTGTGTGCGAAAGATGTGACCGAACATGTGTGTGTGTGTGTGGGTGTGCGTGAAATATGTTATATATATATATGGGGGAGGGGATGGGTGAAAGCTTTAACTGGACATGTGGTGTGTGACCCCCCCCCCCCTTTTTTTTAAAGTATATTTCCCGTCTTCTCTAAGTAAGAAATACCGCAGCACCCAAGAATAAGTGCAGGTATTGTTTTTCTTCAAATGTATACCATTATCTCATCAGCTGCTCGCCGAGTGGCCACACTCGCCGGGCTCTCATGCCGGAGACCCGGGTTTGATTTCCGGTAAGCTTGTGGACTTTTTTATGCTGGGAGGGGGGGGGGGGTGGATAAATACCCTACAGCACTAGCCATGCTGCCAATAAATATCAACCCCCCCCCCCCCTTGTCTAAACTGTTGTAAAAAGTGGTAAATAAAGATAGAGGTAACAGGGACCATTGTCACCCTCCCCCGGCCCAAGCGCCCAAAATGGGTGGCATGTTCATAGGTGACCAAAGAAGAGAAGGAGAGCTAGTTGTATGACGTCATTATGTGACAGCCAAGTTTATGGTTTGTACAACGGACCAACATCATGGTACAAGGGTAGTAACCCATAAATGCTTCCTTCTACTTTTAACTCAGAAGAATCTCCGCGCAGTGCACGAATTCCGTAGAACCGGCGAGGATCCTGAAATGGTTTGGGTAAATTTTTAACTCAAAATTTTGCCCGGGCAGCGCCGTTGGGCGACTCTTCGATTTCCAACTGCCAAGGATTTTTTAAGCGAGCGCAACAATACACAAGGGCGTCCGATTCTACTACCCAGAGACCAGGGAAAAACATTACTAGAAGTCCACCTAAAAAATCTCAACCTTTCCGGGGTTTGAACCCGGGACCTCCCGCACTCGAGGAGAACGACATGCATCAAGACCACTCAGCCCCCATAACACAGTCAAGTACCGTATCACAACACCTCCTAATGCTTTACGGGTATAATTTTTGGACAGGATTGACCCAAAACCATAGATGAAATATCATGCAGTTTTTGAGGTATATTCATCTAAACGCGAGCTGGCCTTAGTAGTCACATTCGCTATCGCCGTAGTAGACCATTGCCTGTTTGTATAGCACAATGTAAGACTACAGTATGGAGATACAAAAAGATACACACAGTTTATCACATACCCCACTTCCTACATTTCCACATACTCTTATTCACCTTCACCTTCCCCACCACCTCCTTTTCTTACTCCTCTAGTACTCCCTGACCTCCCTACACCAGCTAAAAACACTTCCATAATAGCACGGATTTACCACTTGTGTATTGGTGTTGTGTCTTCGAGCCTGGGGTTTTAGGGCCGCATGACTAGTGCTGTCGCCACAACTGTGCGGGTTATGATTTTTGTTTTGTTCCTGACAGAAAACAAAACCCACAACCTTACCGAGGATTCAAACCCCGGTCTTATGAGAGCTTAGCGGTCTTAACCAAACACTCAACCGCTTCTCTCTCACACTAGCAGATCGATGCTTCTGCCACTGACAGACCAACCCCTGACGTGTACAATACGTGTCAGCTGATGTAACCATATACTCGCCGAACTTTTTATGAGGAGTGAAATGACACGAGAGCAGGCCGACAGATGAGCATAGATGTTAAGTGTGACTCAGCAGTTTGCGTCTGATGAACCGTTCCGCTCCCTAGCACAGTCTAGTGAGACACTTCTTATGCGTGAGAATTCATAAATCAGCGTGGTTTGTTTTGCGTCTAGTCTCTCCTTATCATAAAAAGATTTAAAACCGAACGATAAGTAGATAAGCGAGCTTTACAATATCATAAACACAAACAAGAAGTGACCGTTGCGACCACGAAGCCTTCATCAAAACAGACATTTATCAAACAAAGCCTCACGAATACACTCAAAAACTTAACCGACGTATCCCGAAGCAGCCACGTCGATGTCTAGCCAGTGGAATGAAAAGCCATATGTGGCCAATGACAAAATAGCCAGAGAATGCCAAGGACCGTAACTCAAGAATTTTAGAGGAAATTATATTAACAGTTCAGTACCCTAGGTGTTTGGGTTCCAAAGGTGAAAATACAGCGATTCTCAAGCGATTTGCGGAATTTCTCTTACGCATGCCCTCATTCAGCACCCTCTTAAAAAAAAACTAATTCTCTTTTCTCAGTGGCTGTATGTGCAGAATAAAAACAAAATAAAAATAAAAATTAGGGCTCTCATGTGCTACTTCAAGAAACTGCGCAAGCTATCCTTTTATGTGAATTTGCTGCTCCAGAAGACAACTTGCAAGATTTGCCTTATCATGCATCCCTCACGCGTAAATGCCATTCGGCTTCATAGATAGAAAGACTGGTCGTCATCACTTATGATGGACACTAAAAAATGTCACTTTCCCTTATGTCTTGTTTATTCAGTTTGTTCAACAAGAAGTGTCATGCAATGCTTGTTTATTTTACCTCTTCAGTAAATGAATATGTAGGTCAATTAAAACACGGTGGTTATGTTTGTACTTATAAATTTCATTATCTGTAATTTCTCTCCACAGGTGATTTGAACTTCAGCTTCGATGACCTCAACCCATGCTGTGAAGTGGCGATGGAAGACAGTTTCCAAGACTTCATCGACTCTGCACTTGAACAGTCTTATTCTACCTTTCTTCACGAACTGTCTCCTGACAACGAGACATCGTCGTCGAGCTGTACAGATACCGTGATTTTCAGCAAAGACCAGTTTCTGGCAGCACTGGAACTCCGACCAGTGCAAAACAACAGTAACAGTTCTAACATGTTGTCACCGTCATCAACGCCCGTAGACGTTGGATGTTGCTCTGACAGCGCTACCCGGTCCTCAAGTGTGTCAGTAGCAGAGACTGCTGACTCTTCAACTCCCAAAGTTTATACTCAAGATTCGAGCTCTAATGATCAAGTACCAACGAGACAATGTTCCTGTATGGGGTTTGTAAGTGAATCCAAGGCTGTGTACTCAGTAGCTCACTCGACAAACCAAGAAAGCCTTATGACGTGTTCTAGTACTTCAGCGTTGAGCAAGGGGGACGACTGCACTGAATGCTCCCAGTCGGGACTTACCTCTGAAGTGCGCATGTCACCGTTGTTCGTAGACCCCTTTTCCGGTTCAATTTGTTGTTCTTCCCAATTGTATCAACAAGATGGTATGTACATTGTAATGGAAGAAGATTCGTTGCAAAAAACCGACAGAGACACAGCCGGTATCATGACATGGCTTAATGACAGCCAGCAGGTATTTCGACAACAATACGGCCACACTAACGGCATAAGTCCGGAACACAGTCAAGACGTTATTGCTGGTACGGAGCTGTCAAATCAAAACACGACAATCACCTCATCGATGGATTTAGAGACGTTTGCAGATCTGGAAGATGTTGAGGTAGAAGCCACAGATAAAGAACCACATACTCATACGTGCCAGAAACCTGAGAATCCCTCAAACTGTTTCAGTAATTCCCCGTGTATTTCTCGGTTAAAACTGTCAGCATTTACAGAACGCGTGGAATCCATTGGAAAATTAACACAAAGCTTTTGTTCTTATACATACCCCGAAAGTTCAGAATTACTAAGTCCCAGTTCTTCATATGTCGCACACAATGACTTCTCCCCAGCGTTGTCTATCCCAGATTCTAACCAATCGCCGTTCTCTCCTCAACATTTGAGGAGCATGGATTTATCATTTTCCTCAAATTACGACGATGCAATATTTGACACTTCAGTGAAAAGCCCATTAGCCTTGTTGAACCTGTTTTCAGATGAGAATGCAGCCTCCCTTCTCCATGCAGATTCTACAGTTCCAAGTTTCAGGTTCATGTGAGGTTTACCACAGTGACGAAAAGGCAACATCCGATTCGACGTCTCCTAGCATTAGGCTCGTGTGAGGTTTACCACAGTGACAAGAACGCAGCTTCACTCCACATAAATTCTAGTTTCTAATATCAGATTCACGTGAGGGTTATCACCATGATTAAAGTTTATTATGTTAGTGTGTTTAAAAAGAAAACCTTGTATCTTACGGGGAGATGAAAGAAAAACACGTACCATTTTCCACACAAAAAAAACAAAAAAACTGGGTTACAGAGCATGAATTAGGACCAGGGAGCACAACAACATCCTGACTCTGTGTTTTTATAAGGAGTAGAAAATTATAGGGACGAGAAAAAGTTGGTAAGAAACAACAATTAGTTTATGTTAGCTTTACAAAATCGATCACAATAAACAAACAAAGGACGTTGCGGCGATTAGCCTTCATCAGCACATAAAGGACAACACAGTACACATACACAAATAGGCTCTAACTATGAAGTGACTACATAGGACTCTAATGTATAAAATAAATGATACTCATCTAGTGTCCCTGGAAGGAAAACAAAAATAGACCAACTGACTCACTGGCAAGCCTGTCGTAAACTAATTAGGGCTGTTTCCTAACGAAAAATTCTGCCCACATGGTAACGGCATGGAATTCCCCAGCTATTACGGGAAACAAAACAGTTCTGCTGATCCCACGGCGGACAGACAGGACAGGATTCAAGTTCAGCTCCAAAACCCACACTCCCTCATGTCACTTCCATTATATTGCTTTCAGTATATTTGTTCTTGTATTTGTGTACGCAAAGAGTAGACATGACAATGTGATGTAGGGACTTTACTATTGCTTTGCTGTGCCAAGGATAGTAGGTGTAATTCTTCTTCGGGTTGACTACCTCTGTATATTGACGGTTTATGAGGTTTTGAACAACGGACCAACATCATGGAACACAGGTAGTAACCCATAAGTGCTCCGTTCTTCTTTTAAGTCAAGTCTGAGTCTGAAAAAGCTCAGTACAGTGCAAAGGCACTGTAGCACCGGCGAGGATGCTGCAATACTTTGGGTAGATTTTTAACTGAAAATTTTGTCTGGGCAGCGCCGTTATGCTACTTTTTTTTTTGATTTCCAACTGCCAAGAGATTTTTTACGTGCACAACAATGCACACGGGCGTCCGATCTCACTACCCAGAGAGCAGGTGGAATTACCAGAAGTCCAAGTCCACGCGAAAAAATCCCAGCCCTCACCGTGGTTTGAACTCGGAACCTCTAGCACTCGAGGCGGACATCGTGCCTCGAGATCACACAGCCCACTGTTGACGGTTTATTTGATGTTTCACTTATACAAGGTTTGCTAGGGTTTTTATTTTTATTTTTTATTTTTGTTACTTTTCAGCGTTTAGACCATTTTCTTCCTTTTCGGCGTTTGCCTTGAAATTGGCGGTTGGAACGTTGTGCTGTGGTGTACAGCTAGGTTATGTTATCTGCGCCTTTCGGGCTAGCATATCCAGTTTTAGTAAACCCTAAATTAGTCGCATTGTCTTAGATTTGTAGGTGGCAGTAGGTGTGACCATATAGGGCCTAGTGCACACACTGGGATTTCCTCAATTGTAACTCATCTGCTGACATTATTAACATTTCAACTTTTGATTCGAACATTGGCTACATTTATCTAGAAACCCACACATGTTTTTATACACGACAAGACTCGGCTGTGCAAAAGGAGAACGGCAGCGGGAGCCGTGACACTTCGTGGGCCCGTCCCAGAGAGAAACCGAGGCAAAAAGGGTCGAAATATTTGGTGAAAAGGAACCATTTTTTAATACATTCCCTATCATGCTCGCTCCTACTTGAAGATTTTATTGCCCTAGAATTCTTTATATGAGCTAAAGCTGATTATTGGCTGCTACTGAAAGAGGTGATCCATAGTATGATCTGTTACATTTAAAGCATAACTGTGTCAACTATAAACGCACCAATGACACGTGAAATTATCCTTTATGAGTGACTCGTACTTTCCGATTGGTTTGATTGCTAGTTCTCACTGCAGCTTTATATATGACACGTATCTATAAAAAGTCTTTCAGATTTTGTTTTGTTTCGCTTTTTAATTTTTTCGGATTCCTGCCATTATTGTTTTTTAAAGTGCTTGCTGTTTATAAAAAGGATTGTTGAAATATATGCCAGAAAACAGAGTATTTTGTTTGTTGTATGTGTGCGTGTGTATTTATGTGTGTGTGGGTGTATGTATGTGCAATACAAGTCAAACAGATAATAGGGCAGCGTTGACAAGTTACAGAAACCCAGACAGATTAACAACACATTATCAAACTGCCATTACAGCACGTACTTACCACTTTTGCTGTGTGGGCAAACAGGGGGGGGGGGGGGGGGGGGGGTCATTAGGGCTAAGAATTTAGAGCCGCATGGCTAGTGCTGTCGCCACGGACTGTGCGGGTAAGGATTTTATTTTAGCCTAAACAGAAAAATTCAGCCTTTCGGAGGATTGGAACCTGGGTCTCCTGCATGAAAGTGCAGCATTCTTAATCGGTGGGTCAGCCGATCCTCCGGATACATTATTTGTGAGTATTGTCAAACGTTAAGTGTGCACATCGCTGTTGTCTGGTGCAGAAAGCTGGGCAATGGACGAGCAACTAGAAAAACATATTATCTCTAGAGATGTTGATATATAGAAGAATAGGCCACATTTAATGGAGACCAAACAATTAAAATCGGAGGTTCTGAAGAAACTAGGAATGAAGAAAAGTTGCTAAAGAAAATTAAAAAGAGACAAGTGCATCTTTTCAGGAAATTTAAAAGAAGTAAAACTCTCAGAGTCGGCTCTGTGGCTAAGTCGATGCGAATACTTCGCTTCGTGATGCCGTGATGCCGGGTTCGATCCCAGCTGCGGGCAATGCGCCTTGCGTTGGTTTCGACACTGGTATCAAGAAAGCCGACCGTCCAGTACAATGGCAAACTATTGGAAGTAGATTTGCCTAGAGAAACCACACAACAGCCAGGGGCTGCTAGGGTTGGTTCTGCAACGTCCTGCAAAGGATACGCAACAACAACAACAAAAAGCAAACTCTTAGAGGGGAAAGCTGAAGGCAAGCGGTAGACAGCAAAACAAGTGGGAGGGTAACATCAAGAGATGAATGAACATCAGTATGAGAGCGGGGCGAAAGACAGATGCGAATTGGACATTCAACACTCATTGAGAGACCGCTTCTGATTGATTGATTGAAGAATAATGAACATAGATTGAAAAAAAAAAAAACGGGCAATACAACGGGGTCTTGATGGGGTTATCTGGTAGAACTAAAGGTTTGGTAGGTGGAACCATGGCCAGACAAACAAGAGTGTGACAGCACACGATAACAGACTTGTTCGGGTTAATTCGGTCAGCATGGCAGCTCGTGACTGGAGCTATATCCCAATCTGACCAGTGGAAAATTTCGCATTAATCTAGATCATCGTTACTTTTGAGCTCAAATTCCCCGTGTTGGTTCCTGAATATCAAGAGGGGTGGGGGCGGCAAGATTAGGCCCGCTGCCCCAACAAGCATGCCGTAAAAGGCTATCAACAGGGGTGTTTCCTTCGAAATCGGAATGCATCTTCCCGAGAGGCGAGGAACCCACAGCCTGCATACAAATCAGCCAGATCTGTAAAACAGATATAAAAACAAAACTCCTGTTCGGGAACAAGACCAAAGTCCAGGAGTGGGCGAACAACCAGAACTTTCTCCCGGCGAAGAAGTAGAGAATCAGAAGATCCTGCTACACGATAGCTATTATTAAAAAGAGAGAAATATAGTAATTTAGTATTATTTCAGACAATAGCTATCGTGACTAATACGCGCGTTTTTATCGGGAAAGAATACACAAATAGATTCATTATTTATTAATTGTTCTGGAGAAACTTAATATCAGAAAAAGTTTTTTTTTTTCAATTTTATTGAAATGAGATGGCCGAGAGAGGCTGCAGGAGTTTAGAGAAGAGATAACAAGCAGGAATGAGGTCTAAAAAGAAAAAGGCACCGAACCAATTCTAAATTACAGAGACAGAAAATCAAATCGTTTGCACAGTTAAAAAGAATGCATTGTGATACCATACAAAAAGGAAGAAGAGCACAAGATAGATCAAGAACAAGATGGAAAGATAACATCAATGAAACTTTACAACAGCAAGATGTTTTTGTGGTCGCAGTGGCCAGAAGAGCAAGAATTACAGCCTTATATCTCCGTCGACACCGGAAGCAGTAAGGTTTGAACAACGTATCAACAGGCTCTGTAGCACCGACGAGGATCCTGAAATCCATTGGGTACATTTTTAACTCCAACTTTTGAACAGGCAGCGCCGTTAGGCTACTCTTTTCGATCTCCAACTGCCAATGGAATTTTTAACGTGCACAGCAATGTACACGGGCGTCCAATTTCACTACCCAGAGACCAGGGGGAATTACTAGAAGTCATAGTCCACTTGAAAAGTATCCCAGCCCTTACCGGGGATTAAACCCGGAACCTCTAGCACTGGAGGCGGACACCATGCCCCGAGACCACGCAGCCCCCTCCCACTTTTCCGCCCCCCGGAAGCAGTAAAAGAGGAAGTGAAAAATAATATGTCCCTCTCGAAGCTGGGCCACGATTGAGGTCTTGTTCACAAAGCAGACGCCACTTGTTGTTTACATCGCGGTTGGTGTATCCGAATGTTGTGTTAAAGGATTAGGGTTATTCTGCAGGATCCGAACAGCATGTTGTTTAACATAGAGAATTCAATCAAAAATAGGCGAAGTCTGCTTTCTGAACAAGACCACCAGATGGATTCTGCACAGACTGTCTATCGTCTGTCTTACCGAAACTGATTTCTGGGAAGGCTAACCCGGGCAACAAATGCCTGCAGAATTCGGATATGTCACGGAAAGACGCAAATATCGCAGCCATGTTGTAAACTAGCCTAACACATTTACATCTTCGGATGACCACAAAAGAGGAGAGAGAAGAAGAAGAGGA